TATACTTACATTAACCATGAATATCATTAATCTTTTTATGAATATAGTTTAATCTGACGTCATCCTACATGCTAATGCGGAAGTCACATGACTTCTGTGAGTATATTCATGGCTTTTGGCAGTAAAAGGGGTGGGTATGCCATGTCACTGAAATAAAGATGGCCGTCTGTCCTGTTTGATTCTCTGTAAGCTCCTCCTCCTTCAGCTGTACGCGCATAAGGGAAAGCCTCTATCTCGGCATAGATCTCGGCCCCTGGTTCTCTAAAGTACAAGCTAAAGCCACAAATTGAGCAACAATGCTTTATACTGACATGGTAGCTATCTTATTGACTTTGATTGTATATCTAAATGCAAAAGCAGCAGAGATCACTTTTTCCTCAGCAAAGAAGTTTCCAGAACCATAAGTTTTGTGATCAAATGCACACTTTATTCCTTTTTAGAAAGGAATACACCTGTGAGTTAAGCAACAAACCTTTGATATAATGGACAAAGTCATTGTGGAGAGGTCTGACTTTTGAAGACGGTGGTGATTCACTATTTTACTATTCTGACTTGCAATATCTTGTTTCAATTAAATCTTTACTATCACTAGTTTTGCCAGATTAATCATTAAAATTATAACATTAATACTGTTTTATCTGTATAATCATATTACTTTTAAAAATGAGAATCATAAAAAATTGATCATTAAAAGAAACAACATAAAACAATCAGTAAATAAAAGCAAAAAAATGTAGAGCTGTTAACTTTGTACTAGTATTAGTACTCTCAGCCGAGTTTTTACAGACCTATTAAGGTACACACACATAACTTCAAGTTTAATAAACATTAATCTACATATAGACACTCTAAAAAAGGTAATGTGATGCTTTTAAGGCAAAAATGCTCACAAGGCAAAACTCAACATTTGCAATGGTGCATGCCACATTTTGTTAATAAATAAGCATCCATAAAGTACAAAATGCACTGTTTTATACAAATAATACCAACTGCACTACAAAAAAATGATTACAAAATATCATAATATAGAATTAAAATCTCATAGAATAATGTTTTTAAAAAGCAGTTTTGACACATGGAATATACTGCATTTAAATTTTGTGCAAAATTTTCATAAATATATATTACAATAATTAAATACCTCAACCTACTTTAGAATTATTACTACTGTACATGTCATGAATTTACTACAAATTGAGAGAAAAAGAAGGCTCATTTAATGTAGTACATGGTTTAATGTAGTACATGGTAACATGCAAGTACAAAAATAAATGAACAAGGAGTGTAGATATAACAACTTAAAACTTATCAATGCAGCAAAGAATTATATAGAATTAGGACTTGCGACTAATGAAATTGATTCTTTATAATTGCCACTGCTATGAAACAATCACCATGAAGGTATTGTAGGTCAAATTTAAAAACTATTTTGCATGTTGTATAGTTCCCATAATGCTATAATGCTAGCTAGCATAATAGCATTATTCCAGCTTGTTAAGTACTCCTCCAGTAAAAATTGTTTTCACACACACACTTACCTACCATGTAAGTTCTGTCGTTCATTTCAGGATAACTGATAGTTACATAAAAAAAATAAACCATAATTTTAAAAATATAACTTAATACATATTTAGTGTAGTTATCTATCAATATTTATGTTGTTAAAGCTTATAGCAAAATAAAAGTAAATACATGAAAGTAAAACTAATGGTGTTAGCAAAAGTACATACAATATGAAAAATTTTAAATACATCGTAGATGAAAGGTAGATACATCATGCAATGTCTGGTTATTAATAACAAAAGTAATGATTGCCAGTAATTGCAATGGTAACTTTATTGCCATCTGTGCTCAGGCAATATCAATGCTATATTATTAATGGTCCTTCATTGAATCTGATGCCTTAATGAATCTAAAATCAAGAGTTTATTTGAGACATAATGATAAAATATATTTTACAGTCAGAGACATGGGCATGTGAAAATTACTTACTCAGCAACCATTAACACAATCTTTTAAAGAATACGGCAATGTCCATGGAACAAACTGTTTCTTGATTATGAGATGTTCACTGTACTAAAAGAGAGAGAAACCGATGATAATTTGACTTGTACCAGTTGTAACTCTAGTTGTACAAGTGCATTTAAAAAATAAAATTGACTATGTTAAAACGTGTGCATCCATTATACCATTAACAGAAAAGGCAACTTCTTTATTTAAATCCTGAGATAGAAAATTCGCTTTTACTTTTACTCTTCGATACTCTATTTGCACAAGTAGGACCTTTAAACAAATTAATTCTAATAAAACAATAATCAATGAACAAATACCATAAGCAGTTTTCACAATTAAAATACAGATCCACCTTTAATTTAGTGCCAGTAACACATTTATAAAAAATTAATGAACAAATAAATCAAGAAATAATGATAACAATAACAGAAGAAGCAATATATACACTAAGGTCCGTATCAGCATATACACCAAAATGATAACGTTAAAATAGTATTAAATTGATATGAACAAGCATATGCCCCACCATCAGAAATGTCAATAAAAGGATCAAGTGTTGGTATACAACTAACTAAAATTTCTTCAATATCGCCCGTAAATTACTTTCACAGAGAGTATGTTCCCTACCAGCATCAGCATACTGCCGGTAAACCTTGTGTCGGGACACACTGGACGGCAATAGCTTGGCCTTCCCATAATCCCTCGCTCCAGGTATCCTCCCAGGTAGTAATATGGTGTAGTCTTCAGCATAGTTCTCCAAAAATGCTACCACATCTTTAATGCCTTCCACAGAAACAGCATGACAAGGAATGCGACCAGTGTTCCCATGAACCCTTCAATAAAAATTTTAATTACTCCCTTTTGGATTATTCTTATTATTTTTACCTAGGTTTTATTCCATTTTGAAGGAAATGCCTCCTCAAGTTCTTGTAAGTACCATTTCTGATACTGTATACGAACAAGAAGAGCTTCTTACATATCTATTTTCAAAAGATAAGAAATAACTTTTTGTTATAGATATTTTTTGTTCAATACTTTCTTTCCCCTGTATTCATACTCAGTCCTATTCCTCTGAACTGTTTCACAAGATGTTGAAGACTTTTCTCACTCTCTGAATAATAATAACAATAAAAATAATAATAATAATACTAAATAATAATAATAATAATAATAATGATAATAATAATAATATTCCTTCTCACTCTCATAATAATAATAACAATAACAATAATAATAATGATAATAATAATAATAATAATGGAACACCAACTATGCTCAGGTATTAGGGTGGATTAGGACTCATCTAACTTTCTCAACTTTGAGAGCCACAATCTTATGTCTTTGGGGCACACGTACCAAATGGAGATCAATGAATATGGCTGACAGTTTCCCCCATAACATTATTATGCACTAAAATGAACAAATTACTATTACATTAATTTTTTTTCCAACACTATTTCTATTCCTAAACTACTTTTGTCCTACTTGGTGTATTTTGGTTAGTTTATAATAATAATAATAATAATAATAATAATAATAATAATAATAATAATAATAATATTCCTTTCTCAATCTCATAATAATAATAACAGCAATAATAGTGTTGTTCTAGTTCTTACTTTTCAAATAGTTCTAGTTTTAGTTCTAGTTCTAAGCCTTTAATTTGCTTAGTCTTAGTTGTAGTTCTGGTTCCAAATTTTTAGTTTGTACAGTTCTAGTTTTAGTTCTAGCTCCAAGCATATACTCTACATAGTTATAGTTCTAGTTCTAGTTCCAAGCTCCTGGTTTCCCTAGTTCTAGTGTAGTTCTAGTTCTAGTTTAGTTCTCTTTCCTTTATTTTGACACTTTTCGATGACATAAGCTCTAATCAAGCTAGTTGGCAACATT